CCGAGATAAGGGAAGGAGAGAGTAAATGACATTATCGAGCTGTAGGATGCAGAGAGCTGTGGTTCCAGGCAGATTTGGTCAAGTTCAGTTTGAGTCGCTGTAGCTGTGTCTTAAATATTCAGCGTGTTTCATTGATTTAAACTGGCTTAACCTATTTTAAACCAACTGGGAGTTTTCTTTTCTCCAGAATATGATATAACTGCTAAGATTTATAAAGACCAGACGCCGCTCTGTGCTGACTTAAAAACTCCACTTGTGAAGAAGAAAGAACGTCTTGGATAAAAACCGAATGATATTTTAAGCGAGATAATTACACCAGTTTTGATACCAACCCACACAAATGTCTCTCCGTCTCTCCGTCTCACACAAACACACAGAAGTTATGACATTAACTGGTCACAGTCTCTTCATGGTCTCGCTCTGTAGTTAGTTTCCATGGTGAGGCGAGAGGAGCTGCTGTTTTTTCGGCCCCCCTGCTCAGAAGGTTTAGTTCATCAATACATAATGTCTAGACTGGAAGCTTTGCTGTGTTTGAATGTGTGGCTTCTAATGCCTTTAAATGGGATTTTCGTTTTGCAGAGATGTGTGTGAATTCAGCAATTTATTTTGAAATGATTTTCTACATTTGTCGGTTAATTATTTATTGTAGGAAATGTCAACTAGTGAAAGATAGCTACCACAACTTCCCAGAGCCTACAGTGAGGTGTTGAAATTGCTTGATTTAATAGTATTTTTAATACCTAATTTACATATGACAAATAAAAGCGGCAAAACGTCACATTTGAGAAGCTGAAACCAACAAATATTTGACATTTTAGTGGTGTAATTTGTTTTTGCGCTGTTACTGTTATTAGCTACCTTTTGTAACTTGTTAGCTAGAGCTAGCTGTTAGCTAAAGTATTTTTTCTCGTGCAACTTCTGCTATTTCTTGTTCACCACGACATCATACCGATTAGTTTTCTGCCTCTGAGTGTTTTTTCAATTATAAATCGCCTGCACGGGCCACGCTAACAATACTAGCATGGTTGAGCTAACAGGCGACTGTGACTCAAAGTTATCGTTTTATGTTTTTAGTTTGACAAGTGTTAGCTCTAGTGCTAGCTATCGTGTCACGTTAGCTTGTGCCGTTAGCCATCAGCACGTTATCTGCTGCAAGAAAAGTTAAGAAAAAAGCGAAGACAAAATCTTGTCTCCAGTGTCCAAATCTACTTCTAGAGAAAACAATAACGCTAGTTTATTGTTTTCCAGCTAGTTCTGCTGTTTCTAAATGCTAAGAATATTCATAGATAAGATGTGCTTTGCTTGTTTATTAACCCGTTATGTTCCAGTTTGTTACACAAATGACAAGACATTGACTGTAGTTAGAGCAACTACTGTATATGGTTCAAAGGGCGTACAAAGCTAAGAAAAACCGTTGTACAGCTATAACATGCTGTTAAAGTGTAAAATGTGCTTCAATAGATATTCAAAACACACACTTAAAAGACAACAAACAGGTTGCCTCATAAAACACACAAACATGCCAAAACATGATGTCATTGCATTGTCTTCAGATCAGTTGTTGATGAATAACAAGAGTATCTTATCAGGCCAGACCACATTTGCAACCTCGCCTGCTGTGTGTGTGTGTGTGTGTGTGAGAGAGAGAGTGTGTGTGTGTGCTGTAAGACGACTGCTCGCGGTCGCATAGCGGTGACAAACATCTCACCGCCCGTCAACCCGTGATAAACGACACACACCCTATCGACCAATGTCAAGCGGGATACACCTGATCGACTGTGATGTATGTGTGTGTGTGTGAGACACAGAGCGCAAGCGTGGAGCATTGTGGGTAATATTCGTTGACTCCCACGCTGGTGTCGCAGTCACCGGGACTGTCATCGTCATCGTCGTAGATCTTCGGCTGTCCAGGGCTGCTTACGTCAACCCTCCCTTGTTTCTTCTGCTCGGCTTCGGCCCTCCAGCTGTTTATATTTACTGCCACTTTGTAAACAATGCTACACACACACACACACACATGCACACACACACACATGCACACATGCACAGGTCTCCCACCTTTGTGGTAAACATGGTGGCCGTTTACTGGGAGGTCTGGGAGAGGTTGGCTCAGAGGAAGGCCCTCAATGTGGACTCACAATCAGACTGATTTATTAACCTGTGGTTCAGGTTCATGTTTGGTTTGAACTCTTTATTTATTTCATGTTTATTTTGACTTTCAAGCCTTTTAAGGTAGGAAATGACTGAAACCATATTGGATTTTTACTTACTATTTATATATTATAAATAGGGCTGAAACTGACGATTATTTTCATTGGTTTATAATAATCTTCCAGAGCCCTGAATACAATATTTTAAATGTTTTGTCTGACCAACAATTACAAAAACGATGTTCATAATATCTTGGGGGTTTTTACAAGAAATGGGACCAAAGTTGCAATAGATGTGTGCAAAAGTAAAAGTGCAATATGGAGAAACAGATGGCCAAAATGTTAAGCTTTGAAAAAGAGCTGAAACAATTCCATGGTGGCGGTGGGAATGGAACTCTTGTCTCTAACCTCGTGAGAAAACCACTTATGAGTCATGTTTACAAATGCTGGTTTGCATTTTATGAGGCGATGCAAACCCAAACAAACCACACGCAAAAATGCAGCAAATTAAACTCAACCATTGTGGTTGAAAAACAGACACAATACACAACAGTTACACAGTGAATCTGTTGTGATGCACTTTGTTTTAAGTTGTCTATTAAATGCATGTATTGTTGTCAATGTGAGGACCTTCACCTGGAACAATTTGTGGTCGAAATTACACCTTGACGTTGCTTGATATCTGAACATTGAGTGTAAGCACAAATCTCAGCCTTCAAGAACTCTTGATTCAATAAATTCTTCTCTCATAAAAAGACATCCTTGCTTCAGAAGAGGAGGGAGATTTTGGCCAAAATGTTAATGAGGTTTTGAATAGAACACTTTTGTATAAAATGTCAAAACACAACGTGTTTCTAGCCGTGAAGGACTCTGGAAATCTGGCTGAAGTCTGATTGGTCATGAAGCTGCACACTTCAAACAGGAAATGACACGGGGGGGGGGGGGGGGGGGGGGGGGGGGGGGAGGGGTTTAACAGGAAGTGTGAGGCAGAGCGGTGATGTTGTTCTAGTGTGTTTTCTTTCCCGTCCGTTCCCATTCCCTCGCTCGCCAGGCCGAGAGAGGAAGGAGAGAGGAAAGGAAGTGAGAAAGTCAGAGAGCAGAGGGCATTCTGGGAAAAGGGGTCGCTCGTAGTGACAAACCTAAAGAGAGTTATTGCCTCACTCTGTTCCCCTTTAGCTCTATTGAGCGTTTTAGCGTCTTTTGTCTCATTGTTTTGGTTGTACGACCCACAACTCTATACTGCTCTTCACCGGCCTCTTTTCCAGACTCCAGTTGCATGTTAGCATGTTACATGTAGTTTGTAAGTTAGCATGGTAGTGTGATGTATTATCATTTATCTCAGAACATAGCTGAGGCTGTTGGTTATTTGTTCATTACTTTTAGAGGAATCCTCTCCCTTAAGTTAAATGCTTCTAAATAAAAAGTCAGGATTCATCCTCTGGAGAGCACAACTGACTAATTGTAGGCTTCACAACCGGCTGTATAAAGTCAATAATCAGCAGACATGCATGTGCTTAAATGTGTTCACGTTGTGCGTTGGCATCTCATTGGCATTCAGCAGCAGGACTCGGGAGTGCCATGACGCACTGAAGCGCAGCAGGCGGCATTAATCAATGTGCCGAGCTATCAGCACCCGGCCTAATTCAATCACCCCTCCAACACAACGGCGCCATTAGGACAACAGAGGAGTGTGTGTTCACGCCGCTGTCACGTCTGCGTGATTTGTGTGTGCGAGTCCAACGCCGCCAACCCCAAATCAAACCCCTTTTAGAGAGACGGAGTGGGAACAGGAAGCAGATAAAGAGCATGTGCTGTGTAAAATTGGGGGTAGTGGCACAAGAAGTGCAAGCGTGGGGGCCAGAATGATGACAGTGGAGTCGGTATAGTCTTCTATGGTGGGAGTTGAAGTGGAAACAAAGACGTTGGAAAGACTTTCACTGTGTGTTTTCCCGGCAGGCGGCAGAGATGCTCATTTATTCATGTTGTCAAGACAGTTCTTGACTAATTCTGAGCAATGAGGACTTTAAAAGTTTCTGTGTTTCCTATTGAACTCTCTTTTTTTTTTTCTTTTTACTTTTTTGTATCTGTCTCAAAGCCGTCTGCTCTCTTCTTCTTTATTAATGTTTCTCTTCTTCTGTGTAATCTGCCAAATCTCTGGCTTTTTTTTTCAAGCAAAAAGGACAAATACCCTCTGTTTTCTTTGCCATATGTGACAGCATATCAAAAAGCTTTTCTGACGAGTGAAGCGTCTCTAGTGTCCACCAGGGGGCGACTCCTCTGGTTGTATAGAAGTC